GAGCAGACTTCTACTGGTTTAAAGACGAAGGCCGGACCGTCTGTACTGAGCAGACGTCTCCTGGTTTAAAGCCGAAGGCCGGACCGTCTGTACTGAGCAGACGTCTCCTGGTTTAAAGCTGAAGGCCGGACCGTCTGTCTGAGCAGAGGTCTCCTGGTTTTAAGATGAAGGCCGGACCGTCTCTACTGAACAGACGTCTCTCTTAGTCTGGCCTTTGCCTCCTGGTCTTCCAGATAGCTGCTAGATGCTCCTGTTTCAGGGAAAGACACCTGAAGTCCTCCTGGAATCCTTCATTACATCAGAAAACAACCAAGTTCAAACACTGATTTATTACCGGACGGTTTAACCGTAAAGTTGATTGTTGATTACAGAGTATAAATCTACTTTTATAATATGAAAAGGTAACAGGTTTGGAAAGTCATTAACGTTTGTTGAAATAGTTGATTATCTATTTATCCAGAATAAATAAGATGAAGAGAGGAATGTATTTTATGATAAAAGGGAGTCTTGGTGCAGGTGAATGCAGCACAGTGATTGGTCAGCCATGTAACTCTGAGCTGGTGCTGGTGAGCAGGAACTTCAGTCATACCGTTTAAGATGTATTAAAAATGAAAAAGGATTCACAGCCTTCACCATGAAGCTCCTTACTGAGCTGAGTTCCAACCGCTTTATCCTGAAGGTGTTTCTCCAGCTTGGATGGATCCACCTGTGGTAAATTGGCTGATGGAACTGATGAGGAAAGACTCATTATGGTCTGTAGAAGGCTGACGGTGGATGACAGAGCAAAAACAGCAAGCATTAGGTCAGAGGAAACACCGCAGAGGCAGGAAGGTCTGGAGGGAAAACCGGAGAAGGTCCCAGTGAGCTCATTAGCCTCCACTGACAAGAGTATCGGCCTACATCAGCGGTTAATCTCTTTGGCGGGATCATCAGGAAGGAAACCAGTCATCACTCATCACCAGGCCGATACTATCCTCTCAGAGAGGCATGGTGGAGGCAGCATCATGCTATGGGGGGTTTATACAAGATGGGGGAAGACGAATGCAGCAATGAGCAGAAACATCCTGGATGGAGCCTGTTCTGGACCTCAGATCAGACCTCCAGGACACAAACATCTGGATCAGAACCACTCTGGACATCCTGAGGGGGCGGAGCCAGAGTCCTGCAGCTGATCTGAAGATGCTGTCTTTCATCCTGCTGTATGGAGCAGAGATGTCCTGCATAGCAGAGTGAAAACATCTGTCTATAGATGATGGAGAAGCTTCAGAGAAAAGGGAGCCTGGAGCTGCTGTGAGAGGTCGACCATCACAGTATCAGGAGAACCCAACCGTTCCTACAAAAGATGCATTCGCTTTAGTCAAGCAACAACTCCAAAGGTCTTACCTGCAGCTGTCTTGACGTCTCCACGTGGTTATCGTACACTAGGACATTTGCGATGACGCCCTCTTTCTTCTTGGAGAACGAAGCCGGACCTTCTGTGACGTTTGGCTCAACGATCACCTTTAGGAGAGTCTGAGGACATCTGGTTCCATCCCACACCTAGGAGATGGAGGAAGCAGAGGAAGATGATGCTGCAGACCAGCGTTTACCTCCATGGTAAGAGGAGCAGAAGTAAAACAGTTCCTCACAGGTTTAAAGTCTTCAACACAACCAATAATGACACAGTGTTGGACCAGTCCAGCCCATCCAGGTGGTCTACACGCACCCAGACTGTTTGAAGGCTGCTGACAGTTCTGAAGTAGCACAAGATGCTCTTACTCTCTGCTGCCATCTACGGTCAGGTGGAGGCCAGCACTGCGAGATTCTAATGGCGGGGTTTGATGGCACTGAAGCTGAGGTCTACAACTACGATCTGCAGCCCAGTCTAGTTACACTAGTAGTGCATACATCACTACTGTAGTGACCGTTTCCTGTGAGCTGTGGGCCCAGCAGGTAGGCTGCAGGGGTCCAGCCAGGGGCCTAGGATGTCCTTCAGATGCTTCAGCACAGCAGACGTCAGCGCAACAGGTCTGTAGTTGTTAAGTCCTGTGGGTTTGTGGCTCTTGGGGATCAGGATGAGGATGGTGTCTCTTAAAGATGTGGATGAGCATCGGGTCCTGGAGCTGTCTTCCTATTTAGATGCTGAAAGATCCCACCAACATCTCTCTTTATTCTGCTGTGGGTTATTGGTGCAGGATGCAGGCGGATTTTTGACACCAAAGCCTGAAAGACCTTCAGATCTTAAAGGGGAACACCCCCCTTAATTTTACGTTATTCCATCATGTTCTACTCACCCATATGAGTTTAGTGTCATTTGGAGCCGTTCTGAAGATATTCAGTTAGGAGTTGAAGGCACAAACTAAACTGTTCATAATTTATTCTTTATGGTACGCCAGCATTCATAACATGTAGGCCAATCACTGTCCCCCACACATCCACGGTTTTATTTTTTATATTTATATTTTTTAAAACAAAGCGGCGTGTGTATGACATCAGGCGGCTACGCTCTACCCCTTCTATTCATTCTAGCTAATCTGAATCGTTCAATTCCATTTGGAGAGCGAGATCATCTGTGGTAGCAGCACTAGACATCTTCCAGGCATGTGAGGAAAACTAGCAGCAGTTCAGCGGACAGGATGAATGAATGGTAGCCAGCGTGCACGGATGATGTCATACACACTTTGGTTTGTTTTTAAAACATAAATATAAAAAAATATAACCGTGGATGTCTGGGAGACAGTGATTGGCCTACATGTTATGAATGCTGGCGTACCATAAAGAATAAATTATGAACAGTTTAGTTTGTGCCTTCAAGTCGTTGCCCATAGGAAGACGTTACTTGGATATAACCTAATGGAATATCTTCAGAACGGCTCCAAATGACACTAAACTCATATGGGTGAGTAGAACATGATGGAATAACATAAAATCAAGGGCCCAATGTAAAAAAACAGGCGTTTCCCTTTAATGGGGACCTCAGTACGCTGGCAGGCCTTAATATTGACCTCGGTCTAAATCAGGGTTAAATGTCCTCACTATGATACAGAAACGGCTCACAAACACACAGGACCGCACCACAGCAGCCTCTGCTGAGCATGGTGGTGGTCTGTGATCCTGAGGGAGACGATCCAGACAGGAATCAGTTCATTTTCTAACCGTCCTCTTTAATCAAAGATCCTAAAGCAGGGACATCATCAGTGACAAACGCCACCGGCTCCTCCCCCATTGAATTCATCTGGACTGTTTGTCTTCAGGCTCAGAGGCACCAACGTCCATCAGCCTCTGCTCCGCTCAATCTCCTTTCATCCAATCAGATCTAATGTTCAATTAATCAAAACCACTGACTTTTCCAACATAACTGAATACATCAATCATCCAGTATTGATGTATTGATGACTGGTTTCTGAGCTCCAGATCATTATGATCTATTTCCTCTAAATGATCCTCAATCCACTCCTTTATTCTGCTCTGTGCTGACACTTAACACAGAAACCTGGAAACCTGAAGCAGAGGCTCTCAGAGCAGAGGCCCTCAGAGCAGGGGCCCTCAGAGCAGGGGCCATCAGAGCAGAGGCCCTCAGAGCAGAGGCCCTCAGAGCAGGGGCCATCAGAGCAGAGGCCCTCAGAGCAGGGGCCATCAGAGCAGAGGCCCTCAGAGCAGGGGCCCTCAGAGCAGGGGCCCTCTTTGGACGCCCTGAGGACACAGAAAGCTGCACGCTACCGTAAACTGGAGCGGTCTGATCAAAGATGGCGGAACAGGCAGCATTACCCGTAGTACCTCCTCCTTCCTCTGAAGAGGAAAGGAGCCGACAGGTCCAGCGGCGCCAGCTGTCCGTCTGATGACCTCACGGGAACAATGTTCTTATAAGTTGCTGCCAGGTGGCACGTCTCCTCCAGAGAGCAACCTGAGAAGAAGAAAGGTTTACATTACTGGAGAAGCAGCAGACATACAGGCTCCATCTTTCAACCATTACCTTTCAGAAAGATGAGCTGGTCCTGCTGGCCCTCGTTCATCAGCTCGGAGGAAAGGTGAACACTGGGAGATCCTGAGGCGTCTCCTGGGAGGCTGAGCTCTCCGGACAGAGCCCACTCTGGCGGACTGTAGGCTTCAGAGCGCTTGGATGCCTCCGAGAAGATCAGTGCCAGCTCCTCATCATCAGGGATGTCCCGACTGTGAGCAGAGAACAGCGATGGAGGAACTTCTAAGCAGAGGTTTAAAACCTCGGGATCCACAGCCCCCCTCCCCCCATTTAAGCTGCAATACGGTTCATATAGATTGAGGCCGAACGTCCGCCATATTCACTATTCAGTATCAACACCACTTTAAATTGGTGTCAGAAAATCTAGTGGATGAAAAAGTAGTGGACTCAAAAATTCCCATAATGCACCTTGGAAAGCAGTGATCATCCAATTCTATTCAGTTTATCTCTATAGTTCCAATTCACATCATGTCATTTCAGGTCACTTTATAGATCCAATTCAACCAGATCATCCAGTTAGATTGATTCAAAGTTTTCTAAAGAAAACCAGCTGATTGCATCGACTCATTGACTCTTCAGCAATCCCTCATACTAAGCATGCTAATAGCGACAGTGGAGAGGAAAAAGTCCAGGCTCAGTGTGAGCGGCCGTCTGCTGAGGCTGACTGAGGTTCAAGGAGACAGAAGCAGACATAGAAAAAGAAGCATAGATACAAAAGGCAACTGTCAACCAGCTCCACAGGCGACCCCGTCCAGGAAACACACAGCCAGGCAGACGAGCCCGAGCCAGCTCCCATGTCAGAGGATGAAGAGAGCACATCCAGCCAGTNTTTCTGTTTTGTTTTATTCTTGGATCGGGCTTTAAAGGGTTAAGGCTAGCTCCCATTCTGTGCAGAAAATCCAATCTCTGCGGTCTGCGACACCTCGTTAAAGATACCACTCTAATTGAAATGTTTGCAGCAGTGCTAAACCCAGCAGACCAGCCACAACCGGTTTGTTGATCTGTTTTAGATCAGGTGGAGTAAAGGAAAAGAGAACATGATCCTACAGGAAGTCCATCATCAGACCTGTAAACCAGCTATGATGTCATACTTGTTGAGTTTGAATAGCACCCTGTGTTTTTACTGAAAGCTTAGGATTTCATAACAAATTAAAAATAATCAGAGAGGCTGAACCATCTTCTTTTAAAGATAAAGACGCTGCGTACTTCCTGAGCAGGAATGGTGTGGAAGCCAAGGCAGGAATATTTCTATAACCATGACAACCAGCCCTGTTTACGAAGAGGCAGAATGACGATACTTCAGTCCCTTCAGCGCCGTCACTGCTGCAGCAGTCAACTTGTTACTCCTCTCTGCACGATTTAGATGAGATGTGAAGCTGAAGGACCATCTCACTGATGAGCACCTTTGTGTTACAGATAGCCAAAGCAGTGACCTTCTCAGCACTTTATTCACCATTTAATTTAACAATGAGAGCACCTACCCTCAGCAGAGTGCAGGAGGACTCAATGGGGGCTTTGGCCAGCAGCTGGCAGGTCAGGTCAAAGTAGGTGTTGGGCTGAACGGCTGCCAGAGTGACAGCGGTAGAGCTGGGTGGGAGTTGGCTGTGGCTCGCAGCCCAGGATCTCAGCTCCTCCACGGTGCGCCGGTCGTCCTCGTCGAAGTGGAAGGTTTTACTGCGGGTCCGCGGTTCAACGGCGGCGCCCACTGTGCCACTAAATGTCAGCACAGAGAAACCAGAGGTATTGACCAGAGTGGGGGAGTTGTTGTATAGACCCACCTGTTTAGAAAAACATAAAATTAGTTTCATTTGGTGTTTATAACAAAAGTATAAGACAAGTTCAACCTAACCTCTAACTGGATCCAGACCAGTTAGCAGCCACTTTATTCCCCTGTTTTCCAATCATGTCCTTCATGTCTGACTCTTTCTACACGCCGTCCCAAACCTTTTGAATGTGAACACTTTGTGTGACTCTTTCCTGATGAGGCTGTTACTTTGCTGCTCAGACCATTAATTCCCCCCTTTGGAGCAATAAAGACATCTTCTGTCCTATTTTATACTAAAAGGAACAACAGTGCTGGTTTGAAAGGGATTGATTTTCTAAAAAAGAAGTTTTTCATGGACCTTGACTCGATGCATGCGGACAATGTCTCCAATCTCAAAAATCTTGGGGTGGTCCTCCAGATTCCCACAGAAGATAGTGCACCCGACCTTCTGGTTGGACTGGTCAGTTATCTTCAGGGTGGAGCAGTAATCTGTAGGTAAAAGAACTCTGATCAGATTAAGTAAACCTTGGAATCCTGGAGGAAAGAGAAAAGCTCCAGTTTGTCTCCTTTATCTGACACCATTCATAAGCAGAGCAGTCAGGTACCTGAAAACATCAGAGACTGAGATTTCTGCTGTGTTCAGAATGGTGCGAAAGTTTCAGATCATTAAACTATGATATTAGACAGCGAGAACCTGAGTTAATAGATGTCAACATTTCAACTGCCTGGTTTATGTTTGTTAATGATAAA